CTTTTTAGAAATCTCGCCCCGTTTTTTTAACCGCAGCTTTTTAGGAATCTCGCCCCGTTTTTTTAATTTTGAAGAAAATAAAAGTTTGAATGTTAAAGTTTAACTCATACTAAAAAAACTTTTTTTATAAAAAAAAAAAAATTAACATTCGAACTTTTATTTTAGACTACGCGTTTAACTTAAACGCGTAGTCTTAACTAATTACCTAACCACATTAATAGCTTAAGAAACTCTATCGTGACGCGACGCAAAAAGTTTCTACAGTTGTTTTGATCTTTATTGCAATTTTAGGCTTTTTAAAAACTCTCTCCGTTTTGTTTGCTATAGTAAATTAGGTGACCTATAACTCAACCTAGTTTTGAAATTTCGTAAATCGTAGATTATGACGTTTTTGATTTTCAACCAACTACTTTTGATTTTTATATTTACACCTAATTTAAACATGTACTACTAATTTTCCAACCTACTAAATCGTTGACCTACTTTATTTTTGAACTACTGAATTTTCAACCTACTGAATATTCAGCCTACTGTATTTTCAATTTGATAACTACGCCTTTCTAGTAAGTATTTTGTATATTTTATTGTTGATTTAAATACGAGCCAAATTTGATCAGCCTTGGCGCAGTGGTTGAAGCCCTGACTTTAGAATGTCGAGGTATAAGATTTGAAGAATACTTGGAAAACTTACTGATTGTTAATTAAAAAAAAATTTCGTAATTTTAAAAAAAACAACGTTAAAAACATAGACCAGATAATCGGTTGAAAATTAATTTATCTCAAATCGGTTGAAAATTAAAATCCATAAAATGGGTAGAAAGTAAATCGGTCGAAAACGAAAACGTCATAAATCGGTTAAAAATGAAAAAGATTGGAATCGGTTGAAGACAATTTAGGCCTCAGTAGGTTATCTGAAAATTAGCTTCACTTTTTAGTTGATGTTCTTTTAATAGAACAACGTTGAGATTTTTATATCTTTACTTATCAATAATAGAACTTTAAAATGTTTTAATTTGTATTTTATGTGCAAGCAATAGGATATGAACCCTTACATTGTACTTCAGATGCGTAGCAAGCTAACAACCACTTCGGTAACTAAGACACACTAAACTGCCAATTTTTAGCACTATTTAAAATTTTTTTCTTTTTTCACACTTTAATATAAAATATAATTTTTAACAACTATTTAAAATTTTTATTTAACATTGTTTAAAAAAACAAAAGACGGAATGCAGTAAATAACTTTATAATGGCAAATAAATCCTTTAAATCAAAGTTAAGGAGATTTCACCGCAACTTTTATATAAAAGTAAAACTTTCTAATAGTAAAAATATCTATTGAACTTCAAAAATGTTTTTTTTACTTAATTCAAAAAATCGAAAAAGATTTTAAAAAAAAAAAGTGGATAGGAACCACAGCGATCCAATTCAGAATGCTGTGATCTAACCATTTCTGCAACTAAGGCGTTTTGTTCGATGAAAATTTTATAAGTATTTAATAAATAAAAGAATTAATAAAACGAAAAATAAATTCTATAAATCAAAATTAAGAAAATGTTACCACAAGTTAATTTTAAAGTAAATGTAAAACTGTATAGTTTGATGTATGTTTTAACATTAAATGATTTGAAGTTTACATTAATTAGATATTTGCAAACACTTTCGTTCATATTTTTTCATTAAAAAAAGTACTGCGACTCTTTCTTGCCATTAACTCGGTTGTAATGGCTGCCGTGAGATCCGTATCAAACACTCACAAATCGGAAATGAATATTAATATTTGTTTGATTAGATTAGATTAGATCAGATGATAATCCAGACAAAATTTAAAATAATTTTTTTTTTGAAACATTTTACTCTGTATACGCTAATTTTTCAATGATTGAAAAAACAATAAATCCAAAAAATATAAGCAACCCTTGTGTGACCATTACACAACAACCTTTGGGTGATCATGAGATTTAAAAAATAATCAAAAGTAAAACAGAAGTAAACTAAAACATCTTAAAACAAAATTATCTGCAAATAAAAATAGAGAGAATGTAATTGCCTTTTTAAAAACGTTTTTTAAAAATTTTAAAAAAGTTACTACGCAAGACTCATAAATAAGTTTAAAAATAACTCAAAATGCACTTGGAAAATAATGAATGAAATTAGTGGTATAAAAAAAATAGGCTCAGGGTCCCTTTCCTAGATGATTGTAGTTGATGAGAAATATATATGCCAAGAGCTATTACTTATTAGTAAATTCTTCGATGACATCGGTCCTAAACTAGCAAATAAAAATTTGTATACCAATCCTAAGTTTAAATATTTTAGTAGATAGATAATTGCATTGTTTTCAACGAATTATTTTCTCAATTATCTTTTCAAGAGTTTAAAAGAGCTTTCAAACCTCTTTTAAGAAATAAATCAAGTAAAGCAGATGACACAAATGGTATTACAGTCATCGGATGTTTTGAACACTTAAAAAATACCCTTTTCAAAGTTTATAGAGCATCAATTCACTAAGGAGTTTTTCCTAAACAATCAAAAATTGCTAAAAATTACCCCTATTTTTTAAAGGTGACCAATCAAATTCAGTAATAATCTCCATAATAAAAACGTATTAAATTATCTAGTATTTTTGAGAATGTGGAGAGGACAAAGGGGAGGGGGGAGGGAGGTCAATCAAAAATTGACATTTAGACAAAGGGGGAATGGGGATCAAAAAATTGAGAAAAATCAAATGTCCAAAAATGACTGAAATCATTTATGAACAGCCCCTAACTCTTTTAAAATATCTAAACACATTAGGTGTTTTAATCGACCTATCAATTGTAACAAGTTGTTTAACCGTAAACAATTTGTTTTTAGCAACGATCATTATCCAAATGAGTTTCTAAATATTTTATTTGGCGTTCCACAATGTTCTATTTTGGGACCACTATTGTTCTTGATTTATATAAATGACCTAAATAAAGTCTCAAACTTAATGAGTATCATGTTTGCTGATGAAACTAACTTATTCCTTTCTTCTAGACTATAAATGGTGAACTTAAAAGTATATCCAAATGTTTTAAATGCAATAAACTAACTAAATATTGTAAATAATAATAAATAATAATAATAACTAATATAGATAAATAAACTAAATATTGGAAAAAAAAAAGGTTTTTTACACCAAAAAAAAAGGTTTTTTACCATCCAGTCTCAAAAAAAAAAAAAAAAACCAAAAGTTGCCCGAAACCTTTGTTTATGATTTTGAAATAAAAAAACATTATGTCAGGATGTTCTTAAGTGTTTTTCTTGATGAAAAAATCACGTGGAAAACTCATATTAACAATATAATACAAAATTATAAAATTTAAATTATTATTAATTATTATCATAGTTTAAAGACATCTAAATTATGCTAATATTGCGTGGAAAGCACTGAAAAAGTTACAATGCTTTATCGTCGTCAGAAACACTCATTACAACACATTTTTTGTTAAAGTTAAAGTTCTTAATATTTAAGAGTTTAATGTTTTTAATGTTTTATGCTTTATGTATATGTTTTATTTGTTGTTGATTATGCATTGATGTGGTTTATATACACACGCTTGTAAGAGGTTCTGGTTATAAGTTCAGTGCAATCTTTTTTTCAGAAACCTTCCTTGTATCTGTGTAATTTGTTTACTACGACAACAAATATAAACTGAAAAAAAAAATTTCATCTTTAGTTTCCCTGTTTGGCTATAGTGCCGATCCGTAGGGGAGTGCAAATATCAAATTTCCTTAAATATTTGCAATATTAAATATTGTATTGCGATATTGCAATATTTTTTTTATCTTTGTTATTATTTTTTTATAATCGCAAATCTATTTTGTGAGCATTTTTTGTGGTTCCCAAAGTTAAGTGGATATTTATAACCAAAAGATTTTTATTCAAAAGAAAATGCGAATAACATATTCTTGGCTAATAAACTAATGAGTATAGTACCTCAACCAGAATTACTACTACTGATGTAGTAGATATGAGGAAATCGTGTTTTACGAAACTAAACTTAGTGTTAAAATGACACGTCGTTTTAAAGTCGTTTTTAGTCAGTGCGTTAAAGACTTGTTTTGTTGGAAAACCTTTTAAAATTTGATATCAAAAAAGATTATTTTTAGAAACTAGAATAGTTAAACATTATTACTGTAAGCTTTATGAACAGATTGATTTATTGCTGTCAAATACTGTACTTTATTGCTGTCAAATGTTGTACTTCTGGGATGAAATTAATGTCAATAATATGGTTGAATTTTTTTCTAACTTTTCATTTCATTTTAATTTCTTATTTATCTAGCTACCTGGCGAATTTCATCGAACATTTTTTATTTGCAGGACTGTACAATATAAAAATTAATTAAAAATTAAAAACAGTACAATATAAAAAAATTGCTACACAAGTTTTTTACACAACAAAAGGTACTTACTTTGGTTTGAAGAGATTGTATCCCTGCCCCAACTTAATTTTAAATAATAATTTTAAATAATAATTTCAAGTTATTCCTTTTAATTAAAGCTAGCTTTATTTGAATGAACAACAGACCCCTCTGTCTTTCAAATTGACATTGGTAAAAAAAATTTGGTAGCAAAAAACGAGACTAAAAAAAAGACTAAAAAGTTTTTTCAAATGATAGATTGTTTGCCCAAACGAAACCCTCATTAGATATAGCGGCAATTCCTTGTAGCAGCAGGCTATATGATAGTCGATCTAGCAACATTCCGCGTAAGTTTTAAAAATATGTTTTAAAAAAGCAAAAACAAAAACACATTAATAAAAAAAACTTCTTAGTCATTATTCTTGCGGTTTTTTAAAAAACGATAAAATTTAATTTACTTCCGCATTATTTTAATAGTTTTAACTTTTAGACGTCATGAAGTTTCGTTTTGTTGTTTTTAGTGGAAATGAGATTTTCTTACTATAAAAATCTCTTTCGACTACGATATAAGGATATATATGCAGCTATTTAAAAAAAAAATACAATTATTTTTAATAAAAATATCCTATTCCAAGTAAAATCTGCGATTCAATTATTTTTACAATAATAAAAAATATCATAGTAGAAAAAACGTTATAGACAATAAATTAGTAATTACATAGTATGAAACGTTAAGACTATATAATATAATTTACCGTTCAAAAAACATTAAAAACATGTGACTAAAATACTCCCTTATTTAATATAGAATTTTACTCCCTTTCAAATCATCTAAATTGTATGATAGAGAACAGGTTTCTCTCAATACAGAGAAACCATTTTGAAAATGTAATATAGAAAATCAATTTGGAGTAGTTAGATAATAGTAAAAATAATTTTAAATCGTATTAAAATATGATAATAAAATAATGGTTTTTCGTTAGAAATAATAATATAGCATTAATTTTTAGACTTCTTGTGCACAGGAGATCTATGGTTTTCATCTATATAAACGATTGCTGCTTTAGAAATCACTTTACCATTGTAATCAGATAATCCCTAAATATTAAAATATATTCATAGCTCAATTAATTTTTGCACAAAAAAATTCTAACATTTGATTTTTGTGTATTAAATTCTTCGACTTTAATTGCATGGTGTTGAAAGATAGAAAAAAAGAAACTTACTTCACCGCCATAAGAAACAAGTGGTGAAACTTCACACAAAAAATCTCTAAAAAAATGCAAAACTGTTATCAAAAAAAAATTAAATGAAACTGTTTTTAAACACTTATTTTTTGCAGTTACCAAAATATATTAATAAATTTAAAAATGTGAGAGCTTACGTTTTACCATTCTCTTGTTTTAAAATTGCTCCAGCATTTAAAAGATATTTAAGATGTAAGTCAGATACATCATTTTTACATGAAGAAGGGGAACAAACTGATTCAGAGGGGCCGTTTTTTAATGGTGAAAACTCTTCACTTCTTTCAACTTCAAAAACAGCAAAATTGCTATAAAGATAAATTTAAAAAAAAAAGTTACAAATTACTTTGGATTCGGATAGAAAAAGGTTATCGGCTAATAATATATGGATATATACCTTGAAAATGGAAAAACATCAAACACAAACTTCTCCAATTTTATCCCATTTGGTGATTTAGGTTCAACATACACTCCACTTGATAGATCTACAAATGGTATTTTCTTTTTAGCAATATGATACGGTAGCTCATTCAAGTGTTCACTATAAGTTATTCATAATTTAATTTATTTTTAATATATATTTTAAACATGAAAAAAAAAAAAAAAATGTTTAAAAAAATGCATAACTTATCATTTACATAATTTTAAAAATAAAATACAATTTAAAAAAACAATACAACAAAAACTATGGGAAAAAATACAATACAATTAAAAAAAAAACAACCTTATAACTTTTTTTAAGAATTCAACTGTGAAATAATGCAAGCAAATATTTGAATGTTTGTAAAGAAGTCTTCCATCACTTGAACGTTTTTCGGCTGTTTCTTTTGATATTTCACTATACTCAACAACCTATTTTTATATTTAATATTCATAACAATAAATTTAAAACCAATTTCTATTACTATTGAGATCAATTAAAAAACTAATAAAATTATATAGATATATACTTATAAAGCATATAACATAAATTAGAAATTTTAATTTACCTGATACTTTCCTTTAAGTTTGCATACTACTCCAACTGCTTCCTTTGGATCAGTCTTTTCTATAACCTTAATTAAGAAATATATATATATATATATATATATATATATATATATATATATATATATATATATATATATATATATATATATATATATATATATATATATATATATATATATATATATATATATGTATATATATATGCGAGAAAAAGCTGGCAATCTTTTTGTATTGTTCTTTGTATTTTTTTTATTTTTGTGAAAAAGCGGAACGAAATAAAGTTTACAAAATTTACCTTATTACAACATTCCAAACCTCTTTCAATGCAGAATCCAGTAAATGAAGGATCTGCAACTTTTACAAGAATGTTGTCAACACAATACACTTGAACATTTTTTACGTTATGTTTTTCAAAGTCATCAATGATGTTATTTTTTAACAAAGCTCCATATAAACCCCCATTACCATCAGGTGATTTGGCAATATGATCTGAAATAATTATAAATGTTGTTACTCTAGCAAGTGTTGAAATGGTCAACATTTTACTTTCAAAATATTTAGTATGTTACTCAATCATTTACCTTTAGACGCAAGAATTATTTTTCCATCAAATGTCAAGCAAGGTACCAAATTTTGCTCAAAAATAACAATGTTCTCTGGCTTTAATCCAAAATAGTTATGTAGCGCAAAATATTCACAAGTTGCACTTAATGTTGCTTCACTGGTCATTATGTACCATCGTATAAAGCTAGGCTTACTGTATTTCACTTCTGCTAATTGTTGTAATTTTAAAATACGTTCAGCTTGGATCTGATATAATGTCTTACCTGATGGTAGACCAACATTATACATACCTTTTGGGTATGAAACTCCTAAACAGTGTACATATTTTTAGTAAATATTTATGATGTATGTATGTATGTATGTATGTATGTATGTATGTATGTATGTATGTATGTATGTATGTATGTATGTATGTATGTATGTATGTATGTATGTATGTATGTATGTATTTATATATATATATATATATATATATATATATATATATATATATATATATATATATATATATATATATATATATATATATATATATATATATATATATATATATATATATATATATATATATATATAGTATATATCTATATAATTTTATGTACCTAGGCGAGTTCCTTGTCCACCAGCCAATAACAATACAGCACTCAAACCTTCAGAAATTTGTTTCAAGCCATCATCCCACCACTTTTGCTGCAGCTCAAGTGAAGCAGCACTCTTTTTAACACATATATCTTCAGGTAAACACTCAATTAACTCGTCAGTGTCGGACTATAAATAAAAACGGCAAACCTTGTATTATGTATTACTTCTACTTTTCCTAACATTTATACCAATATTCTATGTAAGCATATGAATGTAAACATTTTATTTTAAGAACAACTTTCTATTTACAATATAAAGTATTAATTCAGAAAATACCTCTTTTGCAAGTTCGTCGGTACATTTCTTTAGGTCTGAAATGCAGGAAAAGTCAATTGAGCGCAAATCTTTTTCAAAATTTAATTGCTGATCTTCACTTAATTCATTCCAAAATGTTAAAAGATGCTCTTGACCATACGGCCTTAATAGTGATTCTAATTGCAATTTTTCCATTCTTAAAAAAATTTTATATTATTGTTTAAAATGAAAAAAATATGGGAAAAAAAGAAGTGTAATTAAAAATATTATTACGACTCCTTATCAGCCAGCCAAACAATATCAGTCTTAAAATAAAAAGGATGACGTCAAAACAACACCACAGACAAAGTAAAATGCTCAATAAAACCGCCAGAAAAGTCTCGGGCGCATTTTATAAAAACACGCCTAACAGTTTCGAACAACTATCATCAATAATCTGCCTAAACAACCCAACTGGAAAGAAAAAACAACAACAACAACAAAAAAAAACTTAAAGGTTGTATAATTTAATACAAAAACTACTTTAGCTTCTTTCTAGTTAGAAAAAACTTAATTTTTTTTTTTTTTTTACTTAAAATTCCCATTTAAATCTTTTGACCAGCATTTCTTACGTTTGCAAATAAAATACTATTTTAAAAAAACTAAAAACTCCATCCATATATGTGCTAATAAAAATACGTTATTACCTTTCACTTTCTATTTTGTGTTTGTTGAGCTACGGATTAAAAACGTTTAAAAAATAAGATTATTTTATATTTTATAATGACAATTAGTTATTTATTTCCTATTTAGCACCGAAACTTGAAGAAAATTTAACGACGTGCGATTGCATAACAGGATGTTACATGTATAACATATAAATACGTGTATTATGTTTTATTCATAAGGGGATATAAGGAGCTAGAGTTGCGACAATTATAGGAATTTATTAGTATAGTTATTATTGTTATCATTGTTATTCGAAGTGTTATTATTACTATTATTTAGTGTTTGATTGCATTTTTTTAAATATTGCCTAACAGTTGTTACCTTCAAATCTTTGATCTCTATTTAAATCATTACAGAAGTTAAACTTTCTACAAAGTTATATAATTATAGATATATAAACTGCTGTCTTTTAAATAAAGTTTTTATTTGAAATAAGAACTTTTCGAGGTGCTGACCAAAAAAAAAAAAAATTAGCGCATAAATTAGACTTACGGAAGAGCTATTTCCGATGAATCCAAAGTAAATTTAATTGAACAAAACAATTTTAATCTTATTTTTATTGAACAAAACAATTTTAATTTTAATTCATAATGTAGGTTTCATACTTTTGACTAAACAACTTTTAGTTGTTTAATTTTGTTTCACATGTTTTGTTTTTCTTTAAAAAAAGTAATTACTTTAAAAAGATTTTAAATTTAGATTTTTTTAGTTTAATTAAAATTAAATTTTTTTTTATAAAAATTAAAAGGATAATTAGTTTTTTGTTGTTAAAAGTTTTATAAAAAAACTGCTTACTTGAATGTTTTATTCAAGTCGTCATTAAGGAAGAGCTTATTTTATAAATTAAAAAGTGCTTTTGCTAAAAAATATTTAACAATTACTCCCATTATTTTGGGAAACGATTAGAATAAAACATTATCAGAAATACACATACATCCTCCCATTAGTAAAAATGAGTAATATCATGCTGACAGTTTATGACAAATATAAAAATTGGGAGCGTATAATTGGAGACTAAACTGTTTAAATGTAAACAAAAAGTCTTATAAATTTCTTTGAACCAATCAATTTTACCAGATTATTATCAAACTTAAGTATTTTACAATTTTATTATTATCTAATTGATATATTTAAGTAATTTAGATTTATAAAATACCTTGCCAATATAACTTCTAGGGTTTTATAGAAGTATAAAATAGTAAATGAAATAGATAAAGTATCTTAAAGTAGCATCAGTAGAAGAAAGTAGAATCAGCATAGTACATTTTAGTCATAACGTTTAAATTCAAAAACAATTTTTAACAAAGTTAATCAAGCAGACTAATTTGGTCTTGAATAAATTCACAATACATTCATTTTTATTAAAATCTTTTCTATGGATATGCTTAGTACGAAATACTTAGTACGTAAAAGCAAACATTTTACTAATTAATTAATATCTAAAACCTTATTTAATATTTCTTAGACTATTTAATCTTGTTCTAAAATATTTTGAAAGCAATCCTCATTAAATATTTTAAATTATAGTATTTATATTTTCATATAAGATTATTAAATATCTGACTTATTTGGATTAAAACATAAATTTCCTATAAAACTGGATTATTTTTTTTTACAAAAATTTGGCAATATTTCTAAAAGGAAGGTCTTTATATAAAACGGCAGAACCCTAAGTTAAATAAAAAATATAATCGCAATTAAAATAATTCAAAAGTGTTTATATTATTTTAATTTTAAACAAATAGCGTTAAGTTTTGGTAACGTCACAAAACGTTACCGATGTTTTTTTTTTGTGTGTGTATCAATCCAATAATGATAGCGCTTTTAAGAAATTCTTTTGCTTTCAGTAAATTGACTGCAACCCTACTCTTTTGGATTCTGTAGAAGTAGATGCCAAAAATACTCTTTTATGTATAATAATTAAGTTAACTTAAGATTTTAATATAATAATTTTTGACGCATATTTTTTTTTTATTACGTATTATAAATAGATATTAATGACAAATTATTAATTAGATTTTTTAAGTTGTCACCATAAATTTAAAAAACCCTGTATAGTAAACTGAAAATAAAAAACAAAATTTTAAAAAATAGATTTCCAATTAAAAAGTTTTTTTTAATTAAAAAGTATAAATATATTCAAATTTCTTCACACACACGCACACACAATCAAACAAAAACACATACACACTGTGTGTTTGAATGTGTGTTTCTTAAAAAACTATGACCTTATAAAATTTGTAAACCCCTCAAATTGAGGGGTTTACAAATTTTGTATATATATATTCACAATTTTTGAATGCTTGAAAGTTTATTGTATGAAATTTAAATTTTATCGACAAATATAAATTTATTTTAAAATAGTTAAAAAAAATTCAATCAATTTGTTGCTCTCACGTTTTCGGCAGTTGTTGTCAAAATTTTATAGCATTTTCTTCCCAGGCTCCAATCATCGCAGTTTTTTGCAAAGCATCTTTATTTGACTTAGGTAAGTATGAACATATAAATGTTTAGAGTTTGTACCAAAAAATGCTGGATCCGCCTCTTTTACTAGAAAACAAGTATTTAAACCTATAATATTTTGGTTAAGAAATATACCAAAAATGGTCACCATATGACAAATCGACGTCAAGCAGTGACGCACGTATTTTGAGCAATATCTTTGAAATAAAAATAATAAATAAAGTTTTTATAAAACACAATATTGTAGTATTATAATGAAGTTTACTTTTGAAACTTAAATACCATAAATTTTTGTTTTTTCGATTCAAAACAAATTAATGTGTATCATTAAGTCTTCAGCGCTTTGCATAGGCATCCTACAACTTTATCAAACGGACATTTGTTTTTAAAAATTACGTTTGATTGTGTTTTAAATGTTCTAAACCTAAGGGCTTTTAAAAGACGTTTAAAAAACATTGAAAAAAAAATCGTAAACAAAGCTGCTACCAAATTGTTGTTTGAAAATAATGCTTCGAAAGCAGTCTGTAAAATTTTCAAAATAAAAATACCAAACGGAGAAACCTCTTATAAAAATGAAAAAATCATTTTTTTTATAGAGGATATATGAAAGCAAATTATTCAAAAGTTATCCTGAAAATAAAGGATCTTGAAGTTTTAAGCACACAAGCACAAAGAAAAAAAACTTTTTAGAGTTTTTTAACAAGTAAAAAATTTAATAAATGAAAAGAGAGCAATGACAGCAATCATATGGAATCACATGTTTAACAAACGTAGGAAATTAGCACCAAGTAAACTAAGAGCAAAGCTGGCGCAAAGGTAGGGGTATGCTGTGGGGGAGAAGAGTAGGTGTGAAACAACCTCTCCCATATCAATGAATTTTTTTGTTAACTTCGGCAAGTTTAAAAAAACGAGGCCCTTTTTTATTTTTTGAGTCAGCAAAAATTTTAATTGCACCCCTCCCCACACGTGAGACCTATTCGCGCCGGCCCTGTCTGAGAGTATAGAAAATAACTTTGCTCAATCATTTTTGAGTTTAGCCACCGAAAGACAACAACAGGGGGCCAGGGGGGAACTTTTTTTATTAAAAACCTTTTTTTATTTTATAAAAAAATCTAGATATAGGGGACTTTTTTTTTAGAAATTGACGGTTGTACCTCTCCTTATCGAAACCCGTGTATTCGGCCATGAGTTGGACTACGCAACACATCATTCTAATCTTTTACTCATTAACAACATATTAGATTAACTCAACTTAACATTAACATAACAGGCTCCCAAACAGTTTAAAGGTAAAAATAATTATCTAAATATTGTTTACTCACATTTTTCAGTTTTGTATAACCGATAACTCAAACAGCAAAGCTTATATATAACTTGTAGCTAAGGTTTGAAAACTTATTGGTGACCAATAAGCTTCATACCACCCAGAGATTTTTAGTTTTTTAAACTTATATGAAGCAAATCTTTTTTCTTCAGAAGAAAATCTTGCGAAAACCTGAGCAGATTCTTAAAACAAAGGAAACCAATAATAAAAAAGAAAACTATATAGTCGGAGACTTAAATATGAACTGTTTTCTCTATAATGACGACCATAAAAATAAGAATTTTTATGATGCAATTTTTGAAACAGATTTAGTTACTTTAATAAACTGACCAACTAGAGTAAAAATAAACACAACAACTCTTAGAGATAATATTATAACTACTGATATTTTCAATAATAATATACAAAAAGGTATCATAAAAACTGATATATCAGATCATTTTCCTCTATTCCTGAAAGTTAATTATTCAATCCTAGAAAGAAAAATTAATACCAAAAAAGTAATAAGAAAACGCATTCATAGTGGAACTAATATTAAGTTATTTAAAGACCAACTATCATTACTACATTGGAAAAACATAAATTTTGGTTTCCTTCCATAAATGGTTAGAGTCGATAACAAAATTTGTATGAACCACAAACTTTAGCTCAAGAATTTAACAAATATTTCACTCATATAGAACCAACACAGCTGGGCCTATATGAGTGAAAAAGTAATTAAGACCTGTTTACTGATTATCTTGAACCCCTGGATAATTGCATTTGTTCAAATGAGTGTTCTTCCAAATTAATGTTTGATGAGTTTGAAAAAGCCTTCAAACCTGTTAAAAAATAAAGCGATTGGAGCAGATCAAGTTAATGGAAACGTGGTTATAGATCATTAGAAGTGTTTTGTTACTTCATTGAAAAGGGTTTCGATAATATAAAAACATTTAAGATCTAACTTATTTAATTGTAACGGCTTTCTAAAACATTTGTCCTTTTTTTTTCAACGAAATTTTGTTTATCTTTATATGTATTAAATTTATTATTCTCAATTTTTTTATATTTTATTATACTAAATGTATTAATTTTAATTATTCTTAAAATTCGTTAAAGAGACATTAGTTGATGTAGAATGTCATCCTTTATGAAAACAAAACAATTTTTTAATTTTTAATAACATTTACTATAGAAATGCACACTTAAACAATTTATACATTATAAATTAAAAAAATCTTTAAAGCTTCTATTCATTAAGGAATATTCCCAGAACAATTAAAAATTGCAAAAATTATTCCTGTTTTTCAAAAAGGAGACAAACCTGATATCAGTAATTATCGCCCCATCTCTCTTATCTCCACATTTTTGAAAATTCTAGAAAAAATTATGTTCATCAAAATATACAAATATTTTCATGATAATAATCAACTCTACATCAATCAATTTGGTTTCAAGAAAAATAACAAAAAAGCAATTTCTCCCATCAAAATTACCTCAAATCTTTATCAATCAAAAAGAAATAAAAAGAGATTTTTTTTACAAATTTTTTAGGTATCTGGATGAAAACATTTCTTGGAATCACGATATTGATTATATAAGCACAGAAATTTCTAAAAACATAGAGATCCTATATAAATCACGAATTTATCTCAATAAGAAAGTCCTAATCCAACTTTATTATTAATTTATACATAGTTATTTAAATTATGCCAATATTGCTTGGGGAAGTACAGAAAAGTTGCAACGTCTTTATCTCCGTCAGATACGTGCAATCTGTATTATCAATATTGTTAATCGCTTCTTTCATTCGAAGCATTATTTTATTGAAATGAGAATTTTGAATATATACGAGTTAAATGTATTTAATATTTCATGTTTTGTAAATATGTGGATATAAGTTTTTTCGAAACTCAAAAAAATAAAAAAATTAAATCATAGTATTTGTAAAATTAAACAATAGGTAATAAATTTTTTTACTCAGTAACGCATATGATTTCAAATGTAGCAAAGTACAATACTTTAGGAAAAAAATACTAAAGTAAAAGTAAAAGTACACATTTAAAAAAATACATAAAATGTAGAAATTCTCAAAATAACTACTCAATTACAGTAACTTGAGTAAATGTAATTCGTTACTTTCCACCTCTGACAACAACTAACAAATGTTAAAAAAAAAAAAAAAAAAAAAAACATTTTCCACAATTTTTAATTTAGTAAAATAAAAATTGTGAAAAATTCTTTTCGTTCGACCATGGTCTTGGATCGCGTTACTTTTATTAGATTATTTTGATTGAAGAAGATTGATATTTGGGCTGCCAGAAAAGCTGAAAAATTCATTTTTTCAGCGCCTTATTTACCTTTCTTTGAAGATTTTGTTGATTGACTTTTTGTTTTTAGCATTAAAACTAATGTTTTGATTCATATGTCAGTTTTGATTAATGAACCGTTTCTCAACCCAGAGAATTAATAGTAACGCAAAAATAGCAAAGCAGAAATACAATGTGCTGTATCAAAAATAAATAATTTCTACATTCGCAAAACGTTAAGTTTTTTTATTTATTAGTTTGAAATAATTGCGCATTCTGTTGTACATGATCATATATCATAATCATAGATATAATCATAGGGATGTATACGATTTATGATATAATCAGGGCCGACCACACCGGGTGTGCCAGGGAGGCACATATCCTCCCACTTTTTTTCTAAAGGATCTTTTTTTTTATTAAGAAAAATCTTGATATAGAGTAGTTTTTTTCACAAATTGATGATTGTCCCCCCCTCCCCCACTTAAAAACCCGTGTCGTCGACCGTGTCATATAAACTCTTTCTTATCGTATTATCAATATTAAACAATAATTCCTACAAATCAAATTAAATAATATAAAAGTATTAATCAAGTCAAGGTACGTACCCTTAAAATAAAAGCATTAATCAAGTCAAGCATTAATCAAGTCAAGGTTTCAGTATTAATCAATGAAGTATTAAGTAATAATCAATCAAGTAAAAGTATTAATTAATCAAGTATTAATCAAGTCAAAGTACGTACCCTTATAATAAAACAACAAGAAAACACAAAAACATATAAACAAACTTCTACCACGTCCGAAAGTTTGGACATCTTAATCTTTTTTTTTTATTACAGATACTTACCCGTACTTACCCGTTTTTTTCTTATTACAGATACTTACCCGTAGCCACTGCGTTATGATAGGTACTGAAGACATAAAAAATTAGTTATTTTGATGGAAAATGAACTTAAATAAAGTCCTTATAAATAATCAAACATATTTTATTTTCTCAAGTTTTAAAAGTGGAATAAATTTACGTTTAACTAATGGTTGGGAAGTATATAACGGAAATGGTATTTTTAAATTTCAATAATTACAAATTCAATGCAAATATATTAAGTAAATAATAAATATATCTTTGATATATCAAAGATATATTCATTAGATATATGAAAACAATTCAATAAATTTTTATAAAGGTGCCTCTGTTTCATATGAAAGTTTCCTATAAAGAATTATTCAAATTCATTTTTCTATAACAATATTAGTAACCATAGTGATGTTATTTAACAATAAATTAAATACTATGACTATGTAGTAAATCTATATAACTCTAGGAGTTAGCTTATAGTAACAAAAAATTTGTCATTATCATTTTTAAAATCAAAAAATGACTATCGAATGTTTATTTTAGGTTATGGTGTCTGCATTTTTGAGTTTTCAAAACCTGCAATAATGTTCAAGTACCAAAACAACATAAACTTTAAACCACTAAAATTAAGATGCCAGGTTTTGCATTCATGTTTGGTAGCCTCATGATTTATGCATATCAATCAAACATTAATGTTTGATTGATAGGCACTTCTGGTACAAAATTGAAGTAAAATAAATTAATATAAGTATAAAATATAAGTGTTTATATATATATTATATATATAATAATTGCGCTATTATGTGAAGACTTGTTCAAAGTGGAGACGTTTTAATATAAACATAAAGAATATTTATTGGCTTTAGTACATACATTGACTATCTTATAGCTACATATCTTCTGCTACATATCTTCTGCTACTAGATATCTTCTGCTACAAGGTAGTACTGCTATATCGACTATCTTATAGTATGCTGCTACAAGGAAGTGCGGCTACATTGACTGAGGGTTTGGAATTGAGTAGCAATCTTTTTTCTTTTTTTATTTTAATTAATATTCAAAATAAAAAGCCTCGACTGACAAGAGCACAACAAACAAAAATATATATATATTTTTGATCACTTAACTGTAACTTGCTGTACTGTTTATATAAATATATATATATATATATATATATATATATATATATATATATATATATATATATATATATATATATATATATATATATGTACATATATACAAATATATATATGTATATATATACATTTATTGTTTAAAAAGTCTTAATGTGGTATAAAATATGCTAATGACGCAATTTATTTTTCACTGATAAAAAAATCATGCTTTAAATTCATGTAAATAAAGTTTCATAGTTATATAACAAATATAAGTAAACAATGTTAATATAGTTTACACTTTAACTATAATTATAAAACCTAATAAAATAAAAATGGTTATTTTTTAGGTGTTAATTTGCTTTTATTTAATAATGTTGGACTTAACTAATATTGAAATTTTTAACTTTTTCTTCTGTAAATCATGCTCTACATAGACTAATCAAAAATGAGCTGGGGAATTATTATACTTCAGTTTGGTGTCCCAGTCATTGTCTAGAACTGGAAATAAGAGACACATTTAAAGAATCTGCAATCAATACAAAGGTTATACATATCTGTACAGGTTTTTTGAGAAAAAACCTGTACAGATATGTTTAACCTTTTTTAAAAAGCAAAGCTTAGATAGCGACAGGCTTCGTTTGTTGGTGTGAAATGTAAAAAATACAAGCGCCCATCAGGAACTCGTTGGATGGAACATTAAGTAGATAATCTTAAAACACACAACCATAATTTAGAAATTTTGATTGGTTTTTACAACCAGCAAATAGCTTATCTATATAAAGCTTCAATGAAAAAAATTAAATCTAAGCTTGAAGCAATGAAAAAAAGATTTGTGTCAAGCCAATAGAATTATATTCAACACAAAAAAGCAAAATGTAATTCAACTACTAAAAAAGATTTTACAGGTTAACTTGTTGATTCTACCGTCATTAATAACAACATGCAAAGACATTAGAGAAACTGCTATTACACCGTGAACATTCTAAAGTTATGCAAAGACCAGAAGTGTTTCCTAATACCTCTAGTATGCTTACCAAGTTAAAAAATGTAGACATTGATTTATTTGTGGAAAGAGAAACCAGACAAGAACTTGGTAGTAACAACACACTATTTAAAGAAGATTATGTTATCAAAGGTAACTTAAATAAAGCGCTTGAAGAAGTTACTGTTGAAATACTCAACATTATCTCCAATTTATGAGAAGCATTCCGAGTCCACCTTGATCCGGTATTTTAAGAACCCATTTTTTAGGCAATAGCAGTTCTGCTTGATTCAAAGTCCTACGTTAGAAATAGCCGAAGTTATGGTAAACGTTAATGTGATAGCTACAAAGTTCCAAACTCTATTAGAAGCAAACAACTGTGATTTTATGCACCTGGAACTGGAAATGGAAATTTTAGTGGAGCATACTAAAAGATTTATGCTTGGAAAATCGGTAGAAAAATTGTGGCAGAATATTTTTAAAAGTGTGATGCCTATTAGGTATCACAAACATCTTACATATAGTAGAATTATTCATTACAATGCCAACTTCCAATGCAATAACGGAAAGAGTATTTTCATTTTTGAGACGAATACTTTATAAAATATTTCTAATAAAGGGTCAGAAAGCATTCTCTGTTTAAAATGCGTGAGAAGTTTTGACGAAACGTTTTACGATCACGCTATAGAATTTTTTTTGAACCAATACCCAAATGGCAAAGTAAGAAATAATCCAAGGCGGATACAGAGCCATGCTAATGTTAAGAAATCAAAAATACGCAAAAAAAAAAAAAAAAACTTCAGTATTGACTGCTTTGCAAACCCTTGTTTCTTCTGACAGTGAATCTTCTGATCAAGAAAATTTGATTTCTAACATTAACTTAAAGGGATCCCCAACTGCTGAGACAAGTTGTGATCATATTCAAGAAAATGTTTAAAAAAAACATTTATGCTAAATTTTATTTTGATTAAAATTAAATAATGAATGCACACCATTAATTTTAAAATTTACATTTTAGTTGAAGCTTGCCGTCTCCATTTTTTTGGTTCTTGTAGTCTGTATAATGTTAGCCGCAATCTGCAGACTTATAATTTATTCCATATGTGTTTAATTCATTACAGTTTCGATATATGACATCATCGTATAAATTTTTTCTTTCAAGATATCATATTATTTTTTTGCCACAATCACTAAATCATGTTAATTGTATAACTTTTTACTAAATTCCCAAAAAAAGTTTGTAATGCAATTCAAAATTAAATTTATAACAATATATAACAAATATTTACAGTAAAATGTACTGGTTTAAACTGAATATAAACAAGATACTTAAAGAATAATTTTACAAAAGCATATAAATTAATTTAAAGTATAAATTGAATAAAAAACCAGTGACTTGAATAAAACATTTAAACTGAACTAAGTAGAAAATAAATATTAAACAAAATATTTTACTAATAACCGTACAAGTCAAACTAAATTAAAGTTAAAACAAATATTTGTACTAAAATATACAAAAAATAGTTTTAAATATAAAAACAAAGAATCGCATTAACTTGTTCACTAACAGCCGAATAAAAATCTTTTTGTAGTAACAGCACATTTTTTTGAATAAAATTTGAATGACATAACATTGACAATTAATTAAAATTCGATAATAATAAAGTTTTTAACATGCATCATGAAACAATAAGTAATGCAAAGTGCTTAAAACCATTGTTTTTATAATTAGTAACTAAAACATTAAGTCCGAAACAAACCTCATTTAGTGAATAAAAAGAATATTTTTTCTTTAAAATACTTTGGTAATTACTTAACTAAATACTTAACACTTATGTAAGTTTTACAGTGTTAACGCTGTTTTATTTTATAACTAAATTTAAAGAAGTTTTTTTTATTAGGGATTATTCAAGATTTTTTAACTTTGTGAAAACTTTTTTTATAATTACACAATATAGCTCTTTTTTTTTTTTTTTGATTATGTAGAGAATTAATGAAGCCTTTAAAACAAACAAATTCTATCTTTTGTAATTCTACGAAATAAATTATCAAGTCTGCAGATTGCAGCTAACATTATACAGACTCCGAGAACCAACAAAAAAATGGAGAAGGCAAGCTTCGACTAAAACGAGTTACAAGTTACAAGTTAAAACAAATATTTGTATATACTATACTACAATTAAAAATTGAAAAACACAATCCCTACTATATATATATATATATATATATATATATATATATATATATATATATATATATATATATATATATATATATATATATATATATATATATATATATATATATATATATATAATATATATATATATATATATATATGCTATATATATATATATATATATATATATATATATATATACTATATATATATATACTATATATATATATAAATATATATATATATATATATATATATATATATATATATATACTATATATATATATATATATATATAAACTATATATATATACTATATATATATATACTATATATATATATAAATATATATATATATATATATATATATATATATATATATATATATATATATACTATATATATATATTTATATATATATATATATATATACTATATATATATATATATATATATATATATATATATATATATATATATATATATATATATATATATATATATATATATATATATATATATATATATATATATATATATATATATATATATATGCATGCCTTATAAGACCACAAATAAAGTTCTTTGTTTTAACTACTTGACCACGGCTTATTGCAAGTTTTGATAAGTAGTGCGTTTAAAAATTGCTTTAAAAAAACAAAGCAAATTAAAATAAACAATTCATTAACTGAAAAGAGAATAAAACCCTTAAAATAATATGTATAACAAAAATTAACCTAAAAAAGTAAAATATTTAAAGAATGATAAAATAAAGGAAAAACCAGATAAAAAAGTCAAAACATTTATTAATTTAAACTTAATTGGAAGCAAAAGTGAAAAAATCACAGGTCTAATAATCTTTATCATTCCTTCCCATGAATTAATAGACTAATACAAAGGCGGATCCATAGTGATCCATTACTTCAGCAATTTTTTCAAAATAATTTTGGGATCAATAGTTTTTTATTTATTACTAAAAACACATATTTAAAATGAAAAACAATTAATTATAGAGACTTTTTTTTAAAAATGCCAAATATAATTACTTTTTTCAATAGCGTCACTTTTAAATAAAATAAATAGAAAAATGTAATTATGTTTTAGCATGGTTTTTGCAAGCGCTCACAAAAGTATGGATAATTTGACTTAAAATAAATGC